GGCCACGCAGACAATTGTGGCTGAAAAAACAAGGTTGCTTACTTTCTGGCGTCTATGAGTCATTTTTTTTTTTCATGATAAGGGTCCTTTCAAAACATTTAATATGCAAAGTCGGTGGCTCAGACAGTAAAGCATCTGCCTACCATGCGGGAGACCTGGGTTCAATCCCTGGGTGGGGAAGATCCTCTGGAGGAGAAAATGGTAACCCACTCCAGTACTCTTGCTTGGAGAATCCCATGGACGGAGAAGCCTGGTGGGCTGCAGTCCATGGGGTCGCAAAGAGTTGGACATGGCTGAGCGACTTCACTTCACTCCACCTCAGTGATAGTTCACAGCGTGTAGCTTTTCCAGACATAGGATGGCGTGTGTGTGAGGAGGGCTGCGATCGTCCGGACAAGGGCCGTCTGTATCCTGAAACCCGGACCGGGGAGAACTGTCTGTGTGTCTGATGTCCGCAGTGCCCTTGGTGGCTGCACCCGCCTTTCTCTCCGTCTCCTTTTCCCTTTGGGGGCTTTCCTGAGAGGAGCTCAGGAGAAACCAGTCTTGGTCAGTCACGGCCGGAGCCGCTCGCCCGTAAAGGCCTGCCAGTCCTGCTCCAGATCCGGGCTCGTGTGCCCCAGGCCAGGAGCCTTGGGTTTTGTGTTTTGCTGGGTTTTTGTTTTGAGATGAACAGAAAGGAATGCATTCTCTGGATTGAATGAGCCATTTTGATTCTTACTTTGGAGACAAATCTTGGAATCAACCATTTTGCTTTTTTTTCTCTTAACTGTACCATGTCCCCTTGTATAAAGGACAAGTCTCATTGTAAAATGTGGCCAGTTAAAATAATGTTTGCAAGGAAAGGATTCCCAAGCCACAGATGAAGACCTGCTTATTTCAAATCACCTTAACAACACACAGTTCAAATATCACAACAATCATTTGTGTGGACGCAAGGTGCGCCTCCCCCGGGGGGACACACTTATTAGGAATTTTGACAGCCTTCTATGAAACTCTCTGCTTGTCTGTATGTAAGGTGGTCGTAGGGGTCAGGAGATTTAAGCCGTTCCCTAGCTTGTCTTACTTATCCACAGTTGCCGCCACGGTCACTTTCTGCTGAAATGCTTTAAATTGACCTTGGCTCTCTTTGAGAAGTGTTCCTTTTGTTCAGGTCTTTTACTTATATAATTATATATAAATGTATATGATTCTCTTATTCAGTTTTCTATTTGACTCTTAAGACAGCCTCAGAGGAAACTGATACATCTGACCTGTGAAAGTTCAGTGAAAGTGTTGATCGTTTAACCAGAACTCAGGGTTGTATTATAATTTGGGTGCTTTTGAGAAGTGAAGACTGCCTCAGCATTCTGTGAATCTCAGTGGGCTTCTGAAGTGACTCAATATTTTCAAAATGGCAGTATCTTCAAAGTGTAGTTATGGTCATAGGATTATCACAGAAACTTAGTATTGATTGTTTAGCCTCAGCAGGCCTCTTAACACCAGTCTCCTAGGGGCTAGATGAACGCAGTGAAAGTGAAGTCGCTTCAGTCATGTCCAACTCTTTGTGACCCCGTGGACTGTAGCCCACCAGGCTCCTCTGTCCATGAGATTCTCCAGGCAAGAATACTGGAGTGGGTTGCCATTCCCTCCTCCAGGGGATCTTCCTGACCCAGGGATCAAACCCAGGTCTCTCCACTTGCAGGCAGATTCTTTACTGTCTGAGCCAGCTGGGAAGCCCCGGGGGCTGGATACTCACAGCGCTTAATTTAAGCAGAGCTTATTTCCATGAGGAATTAGTGTTTTGCTTTTGATTGATGAAAATTTCTACTTGGATCTTATTATTCACCAAGAAATATGCTGAATCCCCCTTTCAGAAGGTATGGATGGATACTTAAGGAGATTTATTTGGAATATTAATGTTTTAACAATTGGCTGGTTTTCAAAAACATTCCCTAATTTAAAATTAAGCACCATTTTGGCATTATTTTAGTGAAGAATAGCAACTAGTTTTTAGTTGTTTTATAACACAAAGCAATACTAAAATGTAGTTTGTTTTATAGATAATTTGTTTGAATTCATAAAATAATTTAATCAAAACTGCAGTTTTAGGAATATTAGGGCTGAAGGAGTTGGTTTTATCAACTCCAGTCTATTTTCAAGGCTGTCCCATTCAGTGTATTGACTTTGTAATAAAATTGTTCTTACTGAAATTGTAATGCCCTTTTAAGAAATAGGCCTGACTACAATAATACTGTAAGAACGCATCTTCTCTTTAGTCAAGATTTGTTGACGTCAGTGCTAAGGGCAGTTTGTAATCAGGTGGCGTGAGGTGGTCGGCAGGGGGGCAGACATTGAGTGCCCCCTGTGTGCTGGCCCCTGCTGAAGACTATAAGAGTAAGAGAAGCATGACTTCAGATGTCAGACTGTTTAAAGTGAAATTGTCAATGCAAATTTTATGTGCATTAAATTTTTAAAGAGGTTTAGTGTAACACATTCACATACGCAGATAAAATACATTAGTTCCAGGAGACAACGAAGCTATGATGGATTGGAAATGAGAAAAATGAAAGGAGGCTTTGAGAAAGAAATGCTTAAAACTCTAGTGAGAGATTTGGTGGGCTTGGGAGGGCATGAATTAGTGCCTGGCAGCTGGACTCCAGTTTTAACATGCCAGACAAGGAATAAATTATCTTCTTAGAGTGCAGAGAGCTTGTGTGGTGTGATATATGTTGATAATTTAGTAGCAATTAAATGGAAAATTCTGACATGTGAAACCCACATGTTTCTACTATGTTTGGGAGCAATAGACACTTGCTTGTAAATTATTTTGCTCAGATAACTGTATTTTAAATGTCTGAAAAATTAAAATAAAAATAAAAAGAATGTCCTTTTATAGACTATCTGTATAAATAGACAAGTTTAATATTTTATCAACCTGTGTCTTATATCTTTATGAAGAAAGGTTACTAGCATTTGAAAAGAAAAAAACAGATTACTCAAGAATTAGCTCTGTGAATTTTTATAGTTGTAAGCACTAATATTAAAAGTTGTAAAATAAAATCAATTGAGATACAGGCCCACATGTTGATCACAGCATTCATAAAATATTAATCATACTTATTGTACCTAACTCTTAAGCTCTTTTATAAAAGAGGTGCATGGTTAACTTATAAAGAAATATTATAATTTTTGAGAAAAACCAACATTTTACCATTTCTACATTTTACCATTTCTTAGTCTCTTCCTTGAGCCATGCTTTAAAATGTTTTTATGAACATATCTTTCAAATTAGATAATAATCAGGCAGATATTCTTTCCTCTATATATGAATTATTATGCATAAAATACTAAAATTAATATATAACTAAGCTACTTTTACAATAACATATAGAAGAATTCTTAGAGAATTTAAGTGTGCTTGTGGTTCCACAGGTCCACTAATATTAGGCTTCATTATCAATATAAATTTCTTTCTTGATGATTTTCCTTCATAAAGGGCAGAGGGGAATGTTTTATATTCTAAAATGTTGAGCTGCTAGTAATGAGCATCATGATCTTGGCACCCTTCCTGGTGTTAGCTGCCCTCCTAATACGCTTTCAGTTTTCATTCTTTGCAGTGTGGACAGGCATATCTTCACCTGAGAAGGAAGGAAACTGTTCATTTCTTCGAGAGTATGTGGTAGTGGGGTGAACATTGGCCGTGGTTCTTCCTCTGCTCTTGGAATTACAGCTCCTCATTTCAGTTGTGTTTAAATTGTATTGTGATTTGATAACATTTTGACATGTTACTAAGTTGCAGGTTTTATGAGGGCTATCAGAGTGGAGAGCTCACTTAATATGAGCCAACCTGTTTATTCCTGAAGGGTTTGGGGTGACGAGTGTTCAGTCCCACTCTCCTCCTGAGACATCACTAAAGAGACTCAAAGCGAAGGAAAAGAGTCTGCAAGAACCGGCATTCTGCAGGTGTCCTAACACCTGAACACAGGGGTGAGTGACAGCGGTCGTTAAGGTTGCGTGTTTGGGATTTAAATCTTTGACTAAAAATTTCATGAAGAAGAAGCAGTGGCTGGGCGCCTATTGGATTTACATTAACAGAAGTGCCCTCCAGTATTAAGTAAGGAGGACACTTAACAGATACAATCAATAATCAGTAAGCTCCTCCTCAACCTGTTCTTTTTCCGTTGTCAGGCTGTGGCATGTTTCATTGGTACGGGAAGTGTGTGCTTTCCAGCCATTCGCTGGAGAAAAGAAGGAAGAAAAGTAGAAAGAAGTTGATTTCAGAAGAGGGCTAGTGAACACCCTAAAGTTTGGTCTTGATTTAACGAAGACCCCCAAAGAACAAATATTTGATGTTTTCCTCTCCGCGCCCTGTGCCCGGTGCTCCGATGGCTTCTATTCAAACTAAAGACACGTTTTCTTGTAACAGGAAAGTCACTTTAATGACTCCAAAAAGGCAACCGAAGAAACCTAAAGGACACGCAGAAGCATTTTGCCTGTAGAAGAATGAACAGTGAACCCTTCCAGGAGAAACGCGCCATCCCCAAACCGCCGGGCAGCTAGGGAGACCCTTCCCGCGGGGCCGAGGGCGCCGCGCGCGCGGGTCCCCGACTCCCGGGAGAGTAACAGGTGTTACGAAGCCAGCCGCGTCGGCCTGGAGGCTTCGGGACACCCGGCTGCTCGGCACAGCCGTTTCGGTTCTTTCTAAGCCAAAAAAACCTAATCAAATGGGGCAGGCAAGTTCCACCCCCCTCCACCCTCAGGTAAGGTAAGAGCCACCGGAATCTTTTGCTGGTTCCGCAAAGTGAAGAATTCCGATCCAGCGAGTGCCAGGGCTGGCGCGCGCTAGGAGCGACTCTCAGAGTCCACCGGGCAGTCGCGGAAACGCCCGGGGACCTTGCTGGGGACCGGAGCCGCGTCGCCGTCCGGGCGCCCCGCCTGCCCAGTCTGGTGCAAATACATACATGCCCCTTTCCACTGTGGGCGTTTGGATGCGAGTGGGGAAAAGCAGACTAGGGAAGAAATTACGTTTCAAGATAAAAAACCCCTCCGAACTGGACAGAGAGAAAAAAAAAAAAGTGGAGGGCCAGAAGAGAGCCCGGGGCCAGGCGCACACTGGGGTCCACCGGCCCTGCGGCCACCGAGCGGCTGCACCGCCGCGCACGCCTCTCGCTCAGGCGATCGCCTGGACTTTCGCCCACGCTGGGCTTCGGCACGCCGGCCCCAGTCCTGGGAAGGTGACCTAGGCCAGGGAGTCTGGACAGCCCGTCCCGCCGTGGGGCAGACGGCTCGCCGCCCCAGCCTCGACCCGCAGCGCTGCGGTGACCCCCCTGCACGCGACGGGCGGGCACCGACACCTGCGCACCGGGCGGGCGCTCGGCTCTCCAACTTGGCAAACTTCTGGCGGCCGCTCCGTGCTCAGCGCGCCCGTTGGGCGACACAGTTCCCTTCTGTAGCAACTGTCTGGATTGGGGCTGGGAGCCGAGGGAGGGGGGCATGGTTCGAGAAAGCCGAGGGTGAGGACTCAAGTCTCAGAACTTGTTTGCTTTTCTTTGGCCTGACCTGGGCAAACTGGGTTGTGCACACAAAGTTCGTTGTAAAGTGAGTATCAGAAAGGGAGTCCTGGGGAAGAGCTGGCTTGCTAAACCCTAGTTTACTGGAAACAGTGAGCCTTGATAGAAATTCCAACCCAACGTCTGAGTTGCCACTCTCCTGGGAGTTGTGAGCACAGTTCGGTTGGAGCTGCGGGCCGGCCGGCGGGAGGGTGCCCGGGCTCGGGCAGGGGACTGGCCGACAGGGCTCGCCCGGCGGTGCACAGCTGGAGCAGCTGCAGGGCGGCGGGTTTCACGAATCTGTAACACCAGGCCCAGATGTGAGGACGCCTCGCAGAGACCCAGGCGTGGCTCGGTCCTCCCGCCCGGGCCTGGGGCGCACCCTGGACGCCGGGAGCCGCCGGGGCGTGGGACCTGGCGCCGGGGGGCCAAGTAGCTGCGGGGCGCGCTGCGTGGGCGCGGGCGGCTGCGGCGTGGGGCGCCTTGGCTCCGCCAGTGGGCGTCTTCTGCAGCCGCCGCCGCCGCCTCCACGGGCAGCGGCACTGCGGCGCTTTTCTCCGCTGCTTTCGAGCAGTCGCTGAGGCTCAGCCACCACCGGAGCGCGCACAGACCACGCCACGCTTGCAGGCAGCGTCTCCGCCGCCCCTCGCCCGCCGGGAGCACGCCGATTGTGCGCGCCGGCCGGCAGCCAGGCGCCGCCGCGGGGGACTCGCCCTCCGGGCCCCGGGGCCTCCCGCCCCCCATGCGGAATACGATGTGAAGACTGGGCCGAGTGGGCGCGGAAGACCGGAGAGGACTAGACTGACGATCGGGCCGAACGGCCCGGGAGGGCTGGCCCTGCGGGGGCGGAGCCCGCGGAGTCCCGGCCCGTCGCGCGCCCCTCCCGCCCGCGGCCGGCCCCCACCGGCAGCCCGAGGAGGAGGAGGGGGGCCATGGCCAGCCCCGAAGAACCACTCGCTCCCCGCCCCCAGGCCCCCCTGCCCGCGGCGGGGGACGAGCCCGGCTCCGGCAAACTCCGCCCGGAGCCCGGGCGCAGCGCCGCCGGCGGGAGGAGCGCAGCGGGCCCGGGCCCGGCCCCCGAGCCGCCTGGCCGCGGCCCGGCCGAGCGCGCCCGGTCCCCGCGCCCGCCCCCCTCTTCCGCTGGCCGCGCCAGCCCCCCGGGGGGCCCCGGCGCCCTGTCTGCGCGCGGCGGAGGGGGCGGCTGGGTCGCAGCGCGCGCTCCCTTCGCGCTCGCCTTCTCCTCCCCGGTCCGCGCCTCCGCTCCATCTTCCTTTTACTTCTGGCCGCCGCCCCCCCAACCCCCGCCTTCTCTTCTCCCCTCCTCATCTGCCTTCCACCTCCCCGCGCGTCTCCCAGGAAGGGAGGGCGCAGCGGCGGCGGCGGCGGCGGCCCAAGGAGGCGGCGGCGATGCTGGCGGCGGCAGAGGACAAGAGGCGGCTCCCCTGAGCGTCCCCCCCAGCAGGAGTCACCGCGGCGGCGGCGGGCGGCGGCGGCTCTTCCTCTCCCCCGCGCTCCGGGGCTTGCTGCTCTCGGCCCGTGCCGGGCCCCGGCCGCCGCCGCCGCCGCCCCGGCTCCCATTCGGCCCGGCCGCCCCCCGCGCGGGCTCCCGCGGCTTCCCAGACGCCGGCAGGGGCTGCCCCGCTCACGGTCCCGGTCCCAGCCCGGGCGGCGGCGGCCGAACGGCGCGGCGGCCCCGAGGCCCCGGCGCCGCGCTCGCCGCCGCGTTCCCGCTGCTCTTCGGCTCCGACATGGAAGATGGACCTTCTAATAATGCGAGCTGCTTCCGAAGGCTGACGGAGTGTTTCCTGAGCCCCAGTAAGTGCCAGGCTCCGCGTTCCCCGCGGCGGGCGGCGGGCCGGGTGTGTGTGGCCGGCCGTGTGGGGTGGGGGGGGCGTTGGGCGGCCGGCGGTGGGCTTCTCTGGAGGGGCGGGGGACTCGGTAAGCCCGGAACCGCGGGCTTCCCCAGGCTCCTCGTGTTGCGGGGAAGGGTGATCCGGGAGGGCGGCAGGAGCCGCGCGCTTGGGACGGGACCTGCTGCCCGCTTCGGGCCCCCGGCGCTGTTTCTGGCCACGGTTGCCCTGCACGTTTGCTATCAACTCCCGCACCACGGACGCCGGCTCCTCTCTTTAGCCTGGGGCCACTTGGCTGGAGCAGAGGCGTTTCCTTTCTCTGGGGGGTCCCGCCCGCTGCGTCCCCCGGCTGGAGGAGGACAGGCCAGGGCCCCGGGACCCCGCGCTCCCCAAGGTGGAGGCACTGGCGGTTCCCCGGGCTCGGTGTCGCGGTCGGGCCTGGCTACCCCGGGCCCCACTGCGACCCTGTTCTAGAGCGTGGACTGACCGCGTGGAGATGGGCGCGCCTCCGCCCGGAGTCCACTTTCTCTAGGATCTAGAGTCTAGATCCTGGGGCTTACCGGTGCTCGGGTTGGTAAGGGGCAGGACAATGGGGTGTCAGGGCGAGGGAGAACGGCGCCGCCGGTCCGGACCCCTGGGGCCGCGCCCCACCCGGGACCACGGGCAATCCCCGCGAGCGGGACTCGGAGCGTGCCGGAGCAGGGGTGGCGGAAGGCGTGTCACGGGGGAGGGGGGCAAAACCGAGCAGAAGCATCGAGGCAGATATTTGCTAGGAGGCAGGAGGCAGGAGATGTTCAGTGAGGAGGCGCCGGGCGCGCGGAGGAGGAGGTCGCCGTTGTCTTGGATGGAGGGCGAGCGAGGTGAGGACCGGAGACCGGGGCGGGGCGGGAGGTCGCGCCCGCGGGAACCCCGGGCGACTCCGGCGCCAGCCGAGTCGGGCGCGGCTCCTCGCGGCCCTCGGCGCGGGCTCCGGCGCCACCGTCCACCGCGTGCGCACCCGAGCCTTTGTCTGCCTCTCGCCGGGGACCCGCGTTTCCGCGGCGCCTTCTCCCGTCCGGCAGTTCCAGGGTGGCCGTTTTCGGCTTCCCGCTCCCGTCTGCCGCTCACTCCGCAACCCCGGCCGACCTGCACCTCCCGGGCACACGGGGTCCGACCCCTCCTCGCGGCCGGAACCCGTCTGAGCTCGCCGCCCGCCCGGGAGCCTCTGGGGGTGCAGTTCCCGGGCATGTAAGCGTGCCTGGTGGGGCCCGGCAGCCGCCCCCCATCCCGCCGCGAGTTCCTGCCTCCCTGGCGGGGTTCAGCCCGAGCGGGCCGCGGGGCCCAGCGGCCTCGCGAACGCTTGTTGGCGGTCTGGAGCCGCTGGCGGCGGTCTCTGCTCGTGTTTGCCATTGACCTGAAAGGACAGCGGGGCGTGGGCCCTGGACTCCCAGCGGACACCCCCAGCTCGTAGCCTCCCCCCAGTCCGACCCACAGGGCAGCCCTCAGGTGTCTGCCTCCTTCGGGCCCCCACCTGCGGGTGTTGCTTGATTCCTAGATGCTGTGGTTCAGGAAGGACACGGTCTGGGGGCGCGGCCTCCCCTGCTGCCCTTAGACGTGTTAGGCATGGACATCTGTACTCGCTGAAACGGACCCCGCCTGGCCGTGAACTGAATGAAGGTTGGTGGAGAGCGTGGAGCTCCGAACTCACTCTGACTTGAGTTGGGTTAGTCCGGTGCCTAGAACTGGGGTTCCCGTCTGCCGCCTTCCTCCTGCACTAGGGATTCCTTTCAGTAAAAAATAAAACAGCTACTTTTCACAATTTGCACCTGGTTGAAGGGAGGGAGAGAGGGGTGGAGGCTCCCATCCTTGCATATGAAAGTTTTGGGAGAAAGGTTGTGCTAGGGAGCCTGGGTGTGTAGGGGTTTCCCTAAAGTGATGAAGTTTGTTTCTGTTGTTACTGCTGGTTGTCTGGGGTGGGGCAGGTTGGGAGGGATGTGGGGGAGAAGAATAAAGATGAACAGCTCAGGTAGGATGGAGGTGTCCTGGGAGAGTCCTTAGCGAACTTTCCTTTTGGAAAGACAGAGGACCTCGGGAGAGGGCCATCCACCCCGCTTCCCACCCCCGCCCCCCACCCGCTCTGCAGGGAGTTTCCATGGGGAGAGGCCCAGTGATAATAGACTCGAGTTGTTAAAGGTTTTTGTTTGTTTTGTTGTTGTTGTTTTTCCCCTTAACCAAGCCAGTGAGAAGTAGCTTGGGGTTTGAATAGGAACCAATGTTTATAAAAATCTTTGGGACATTACTAAGGTAGTGAATACTAAAGGTCCCTCAGTTGGGAAGATCCCCTGGAGGAGGGAACGGCTACCCACTCCAGCATTCTGGCCTGGAGAATTCCATGGACTGTATAGTCCATGGCGTTCAAAGAGTCGGACACAACTGAGTGACTTTGACACACACACACACACACACACACACACACACACACACACCACACACTTTTGAGAAAAATCTATTCTTGGACCCACCTCACTGCAAAAATGGCAAGAGGCTCGATGGTGGCTTTAAGGACCACAGCCAGTTTCTGCTCTGACACTGTGTCCTTCACACTGGGGACTCTCTTTCTGTCTGTTGCTGCGTGACAAGCCACATTTGTGAGAACTGCTGAAGTACCTGAAGCTTGGCAGACTTTTTTGATACTTGTCAATGAAAACGAGTCTTTTTGAGGAAAATTTGGGCTTCTGTAAGAATGCAAAAGTGCCCACATGTGTCATAGCTGGTGCACGTTTATTCCCTTTTTTCCTTTCTGTCTGATCTCTTCTGGGTCTAACAAGCAAGTTTTCACATAAAGGCTGCTGTGTCTGATTGTTGTTTGTAGGAATGCCTGTTTTACCATCATCAGAAAGCAAATCGTGTTTTGAGAGTATAATATCCTGTTTCCACTCCTGTCCATTTTGGCTCCGCATTTTGGTTCACACAGATTCACTGATTTGCTCGGTAATGCACGGAGCAAACACTTATTAAGAGTTCCTGCCACTTGCCAGGTGCTGCCCTAGCGGGCTGTGGTCCAAGAGTTCACCAACCAGGAGAAGAGAGCCTCCGAGAAGCAACCGCGGCACTGACGCCCAGCGCCGGGAGGGTCAGCAGGCGCTGTCCGACCCTGGCAGGCTGGTGCCGACTGCACTTCATCAGCCATCCGCCTTTCATCGCTGACCTCCAAGCTTGTCCTCGGGCACTGGGCCTCGGGACTTCACTGCTCGGAGAGGTGTTGCTGTGAAGTCCACTTTGCAGTGGTTTGTGTGTGTCTGTGTGTGTGCATGCACACAGACAGGAAAGGAAAGCCAAGAGGTCACGCTTTGACAGGCCAGTAGGAGCTGCATTGTCTTCTGGAGGAAACAGCTCACCTTGTCTACAGGTGGAGCGTGGCAGGCTGTGCAGGGGCTGTGTACACCAGTGGGGCAAGGACTTTTGGACCTGAGTTGGGAATCCTGCCCTCAGGACACACAAAAGTTAAAGGAAGGTCCTTGACTCTCTCTTCCTCTCACAAATGCTCCTGATTCTTTCCTCATGGGTGTTGCCCCAGCAGGCTGCTGTGAATAAGGCACAGAGCTGTAGAAAAGAAAAATACTGCTCAGAGAGCACAGAGCCAGTGAGGACAGTGAGAGGACAGAGAGGTGAGACAGGATGAGAAAGTGTGTGTTGGTGCCGGCCGCAGACACGTCTTCATGCTACAATTTGTTGTATATTTCTAAAATATTCTCAACAGACAGTGTGTATGTGTCTAGGAAATGTGGATTTTTAATACAGTCTACACCCCTGGCTAACCACTCTTTGCTCTGTTTCTTGAGACTTAAGATACTGTGTGGCCAACACTTGAGCAAGCTGAGATAAATATGATCCCTTTTAAGAGCGAGTGTGTGTAATGCACAGACACTACACTAGACTTCACACTAAACTTGTTCCTGTGGGCCTGATGATCCTGGGATTGCAGTGGGATGCCAGGCTGACCACACAGCAGCGACACTGGGTATAAATCAGTTACCAGCAACTGACAGAGATGTGCCAACGCGGAAACTAGTCCTTCGAAGGAGCTGCAGTGCCAATAGGATACCCACCAAGATAACCGGCAAAGGAACGCTGTGAGGACTTGCCGCCAGGCCCGGGTGAGATCAGGAAAGAGCCCAGCGAAGTGGGGGTGCCTGTGTCTGTCCTGACTGGTGGCATCAGGGTTTAATCCAAAGGAGAAGCTGTTTGAACCAGGTGGAATTATTCAGATTCGTCAATTTTTAGTTTCACAAAATTCTTCTTTTGATTTCAAGAAACTTCCACGAACAAAGATAATCCCTAAACATTTGAATGAGAAACAGTGGAAACAGTAGGCTGCAATGTCAGCCTGACACATTAGCTTTAGGTAATTTTGCATCTAAAACTCTTTCTATCCCATTAACAAAAATAAGTGAGGTCCAATAAATAACTAAGTGATGGGGATATAGCATGGTGACTGTAATTATTAATACTGTATTGTCTATTTGAAAGTTACTAAGGGAGTAGATCTTAAAAGTACTTATCACACACACACAAATGCAGTGTATGAGGTAATAGATTTTATTTACTGTACAGAAGGTTAAGCTTGATGTGGTGAACATTTTACCAGGTAATACACTGTTAACTGTTTGTTAAAATCAGCTCACGAATTCTGAGAAGGAAAGAAAACATAATTTTAATGGAAAAGGAATATTTCCCTCTTAAAAGGAGAACTCTTAGTTTTAATTTAAAACATTTTAATTTCCTTTTAAAATGTAAACCGAGTTCCTCCAGCTGATCTAAATCTATCTAAGGGGAAACTCCACTAAGTTGTTATATAGTCTCCCACTCTTGTCCCACTGTTTTTTTGTGACCCCGTGGACTGCAGCATTCCAGGCTTCGCTGTCCTTCACTGTCTTCCAGAGTTTGCTCAAACTCATGTGCATTGAGTCAGTGACGCTATCCAAC